ACAACTGTGCCAAACAGCGTTTCACCATGGACACTCAAGATGGTGAGCTTAAGGTGAAAGCTAACCAGGGTCATAACAGGCGACTCGGCGCCCTATTGGCTGACAATCCGGCCGAAATGACCATGGTCACCGATGATGTGCCCGTCGCGGTGCACGGCACCTATTATAAGGCGTGGCCAGCCATCAGCAAACAGGGTCTCAAGTGTATGAGTCGAGTGCATATACACCTGACCCCCCATCTGGACCGGTGTATGCCTGTGGGCACCCGCGACCGCCCGGTCAGTGGCTTTCGCGCCAACTGCGAGCTCTTGGTATACGTGGACGTGAGGGCCGCCCAATCCGATGGTTACCTCTTTTACAGGTCCGAGAATAATGTGATTCTGACCCCCGGTGTGGACAGTACACTGCCGGCCAAGTACTTCATCAAGGTGATTGATAGGCAAACTGGGAACAATATACTTAATAACAGCTAGTGTTTTATTTTATTTATGTTTGTATTTGACCATCTTTAAATATTTAATAATGCGCATGGTGATTGTTTTGTATTTAAGTTAAACGCTGTTACATTTATACGAGCTTTAAATCATTAACACATTTAATTACTATAAATAACTTTCATAACTCATTAAAAGCCTAAAAACATTTTAAGCCATAAACTGTGGTAATAACTTGTAAACAGGGTAATAAAATATTAACCAAACATTGTAAACATAAATAATTTATTTGATATGTTGAATAAAACCTCACAATTATAATGGATTGATAAATGGTTATGTGATGGACCGTGATGATGACCAATGAGCATGGTTCATTTAATATGTGCTGATATTATTTGATGGTAAGTCGAGTATCTCTTTGAGTAATGGACCGCAGAGTTCGGCCTTTAGTTCCCGAAAGTTTTGTTTATGCAATTCTCGCATCTCTTGAATCTCACGCAATATCTGCCATATTTTGGTGATCTTTGTCTCGCATTCCGACCCATACCTCACCCGTAGATATCTCTCGAGTAAATACAGGTATAATTGGTGTTGAAGTCTATTGTAGTTAAAAGTAGTTAATAATTTTTTACATAATAGTTATCCAATTGCTTACTCGACACTATCTTTCTGTTCAATGTTTGGTCTCTCGGGATTGAACAACAGTATAGGCATTAACTGTTGAATTGGATTATAAATTAATAAATAAAATTAAAACAAATAAACACATGATAATTACCAGTTCGAGTATATGTAGGTCTGAACATAAATCATTGGCAAATACTTCCGTAAACTCTTTCAACAGTCTATACATATTGAGTTTGAAGCCTTTAAACAGTTCCGACGTCAACACTAATGATTTGTTTTTGTCCTAAAAATTAATTATTTACAAATTAGTTGTAATTCAAAATTGCAATTAAAACTAATTACAAACCAGATCGACAATATAGGAGTCATTTTCATGGCGATAGAATAGGCCAAACTTGAGCAATTGTATCTCGATGCAACTGTATTTGACCAGGGCGATCTGGTCGTTAAGACCCAGACTCTGGAAGGCCGACAACTGTTTGGTCTTCTCCACCAGTTTGATGACAGACTTATCAAAATTCTTGGCCGATATCTCCATCAACTGATCCTTGGAGTTGAGCACCACATGTATGAGCCGTTTGGGGCCCGGAATGTAGCGAAACATCTCCAGCGCCGAGAGTTCGGCCAATCGGCGGCACTCAAAACCCGTGAAACAGTTTGAATATATGAATGAATTCAATTGGTTTCGCAACGATTCGGCGGCCATTCTGTGCATATAGTCTACGATATTCTCGTCGTTCACTTCTACGGGTTCTTCGGCGTCCATTGAGGCGATAATTGTCTCAATATGTTTCCGATTATCCACAGATAATCCAGTCTCGGAATCAGTTGTCGTGTCTGATAGTAGAGATAGTTGACTGTCTGTGTCCGTCCGAGTGATAATGTTCTCGAGTTCTGCGATGTAATCGCAGAGTTCTTCGTCGCCCACCACTGACTCTGCCATCGGTTCTGTCTCGGCCTCCGTCTCGACGGCCACCAATTCGGCGGCCATTGATTCGTCATTTGATCCCTCAGACGATGGGCTGAATGTCGATTCGGTGATTGTCTTGATTTTATTCCTCTTATTCCTGCGGTTCTCTTCGATCTGAATCCTGCGAAACAACTTCTCTTCTTCGTTAAGAATCCATTCCTTTAATTAAATTAAAGGATAAGATTTATGTAGAAATATAATTAAAAGTAATTAAAATTATAATAATTATAACACAAATGTGATTAACAATTAGTGAATTACTTTCTTCATCCCGACGTCGAAGCACTTCTTGAGCCGACATTTTTTGCACATTTTTCTCGTTATTTCATTGATAACACAATCGCCGCTAAAACGACACTTGAATTTCTACCAAGAGTTTTAAAATATGTAGAATTTAATTAATTACTGTATTATTAATTAACTATTAGTTAATAAAATACATAATTTGTAATTATTAGCAATTTATACCTCAATATTATAAGCATTTCTCCTGAAGAATGCTTTACACGACTGACAGGTGATGGCACAGAAATTATAACCTAGAGTAGAGTTAATTAAATTAAATAATATAAAATATTACAAATTCAAACACATACCCTGAGCCTTTTCACCACAAACCGCGCATAGACGGCCTTTATCCATTTTATATAACACTCAAATTAACCACGATCACTTCTAAATAACAAAAACATAATACATTTAAAAATATAATTCCATATCAATAATAATTAATTAGAAAATTAAAATATTATAAATACTAATTTACCACAAGTCTCTAGGGCAATATTAATAAAACCATTGCTAAGTTAAACCAAAGATTATCATGACTTATAATGTATATAATTGTATAGTAATCTGAAGTAACGTTAGAAATGGCATTAATTGCTGTTTGCGATCAAATCTAATCACTAGTTGTGTATAATTATAGTCATTGTTTTGGAACCAATCAGAGGAAACATTTTCAATGTCTTCGTGTAATTAAATGTTATAAAAGTAATAAATATAATGTTGAATAAAAATAAAAGGTAAATGTAAACTACAATATAATTAAAAACATTAAATTATTAGAACTAAAATTGTGAAGTTATAAATATATCTGTATAAATGACTACACGATTAAAGTTATCAATTATTAATT